CTGTTTATGGAGTTTTGAAATCTCTCTCCTACGTTCCATTCTTTCCATTTTCTTCTCATCCAATAAAGTTTTAATTCTTGTTTATGTCATTGTTTGTTGTCATGGAAATATCTGAAGGCTTTGAATATAGAATGATTATGGTTTTGTTGTGGAGAGACAGCGAAACTGGAAAACAGACTTCAAGGGAGAGATCTCCCATTTAAAAATCATGCACCTCCACCAATTTGCAGAGGAGCAAATGTATTTTTTTGTAATTATAATACCCAGCGACAGAGATGTTTTGACTCTTATTAGAAATGAATATTAAGAGCAGAAGGTAGCATTTGATATATGCTTTCCAAAGGTTAAGGTTTAGCGACTAGTAGCGCTGATGAAATAGCAGTTATCAAACTTAATAGTGTAAAACCCAGAATGTGCTCAAATGACTTTACTGTTGCTTTTATGGCAGTAAACACTTGCAGGCAGACTTCAGAACAGCGCTAGTTCATTAATCAGCAAAGCTGTGCTTCAGTGCCACTAATTTAAAGGCATCTTTTGCAGACTTGGCTTTCCAACGTGCTTCTGGGTCACACCTTGGGCAATGACATCCCTTGTCATTACACTTGTTCACCCAGCGGAGAGAGAAGGTGGTTCGTCTGTCACAGGTATGTTTACTCTGGGTTAAAACTACATGGTGATTGTTAAATAATTTCTAATGTCAGAGTAGCAGATATATCCTGTATGTTTTTTATTATCATTGGACTTCTACTCTTAGGAAGCTCTGCAGATTTTGACTCAAATCTCTCCCTGCTTTGGATGGAAACATTCGTCTGACTGACACGAGTTTATTAGCGCTCAGTAGGATTTGAGTCCCATTAGTGCCAGAACACGCAGGATGGGATCGCATAGTTAGTTATTCCCAGTCATACTTCCTTGCTGATGCTCCTGGCTCATGTCAAATGGGGAGTGATAATTTGACTCAATTCGCCAGCAAACTTGCAGTTAAGCCACTTTGTCTTCACCCAGTAGTTATATGGACTAATACCCGTGACTCAGTGCAAATGGAGCTGAAGAATTCACAATCAGACAAAATCTAAATTATCTTGAGGAGGAATTTGTGCCTTGGATTCTAGTGTGTTTAGATTGCTGGTTTCTGGAAGGCAGTTTGAACAACTTTAGATTCCATGTTTGCTAATGCTGTGTTATAAACATGATGTGTTCAGTGCAGAAGTATTACATGCATCAAAGACAAGGTGTGGGATTTATATTAACTCTGGGAGAACAGCCCATAAATGGAAGGTGTTTAAATGGGCAGGCTTCTGCCATCAGCTGCAGCCTCATCTCCCTGACAATGAGCAGTTTGACAGCATTTCTATCACAAACCAGTGTCCCAACTTGATGTCACCTCTAAAACTTTCAGAAGAAACTAATGGAAATGTCTATGTAGCTTCAGACTCTGAATGTCTCAGCACAGGCGTGGTGTTATAAGGCAACCCTACCCTGTGAAAATTGCATCAGACCCAATGATATCCCAAATTATCTTCCATTTCTGCCACTGAATGGCACAAGGCGCCTTGCAGGAATGAATGAGATCTTGTCTTAGTGTGGTGCTTTATGTTCTATGGGTCATTACATTCAGCCTTTTCTTGCACCCCAATATTGAGATGTGATCTAAAAAATTAAATTTAGGAGTCTAAAAATTTCAGTGTCTGAATCAGGCTTTTTAACTGTTTGCGTGGAGCACAGCAAGTGCATCCCTGATCCTGCCTAGGCAGTGAATACTGATGCAACACAAACAACAATAATTACATTTACTAAGTAAATAGTCTGTTTCCATGAAGTAATGAAAAGGTCTCATAAAAGCCAGTGAGCTAGCACATCCTCTTTCCCATGGAAACACCAGAAAAGAGAGCACCCTCCGCTGAAATAAAAGCAGTCTCTATGAAATGAGTAATTTCCCTCTAAAGCCTGTGGCTATCCACGCAGTTTGGGGCTGCGGACACGGAGGTTTCTCCTCCACCCCCAGGGATGGCACACTGGTTCCAGTGGGGCTCGGTGCTGGTGGGGAGAGCCCACACCCTTTTTTCGACTGGGGCAAATTTTAGAAGCGGAGTGAACAAACATAACCCTTGTTTGCTTTTGGGGCAAGGAGTGCATTTATTTACAACCTCAGGGGCTCTCCTGCTGCTTTACAACATCTGTGTAAATGGTCCTTGTGCCTCTGAATTCAGTACATCTACTGTCGTTTGGTAACAGGTAAGGGTCAGATTTTTCCTACAAAATAGATTTCCCAGTGCTAAATAATTGCCAAAGCCCAGAAATGTGAGGATAACCTCAAGGGAAGTTCTCAGCAGTTTGTAGTGTCTGCTCTTAAGATCATTTTCAGTGATTTATGCAGTGTACTGGTTCCAGAAAGGGTCTGGAACCAGTTCCATGGCATCACACAATATGGCACGGCTCAACGGTTTGCTCTACATCCTTTGCGTTGCAACCATTCGTGGCATTTAATGGATTAGAAGTGATACCAACCAGTGCCAGAGAAATTATTTCAGACAGGGTTGTTGTCATGGAAGCCCTAGGGTGACACCAATAACCACCGCAAGACGAAGTAACAGTTTACTTAAAATGTTTTATACAAAATGCATGTAGAAAAATTACAATATTTATGTGTTACCACAAATAAAAATTTGCTACATTTGTGATTCAACATGAAGTGAGATGAAAAGTGTGATTCGGCGTGCAATTGTACAAACAGAAGTTGCTGTATCTTTCCATTGATCTCCAAATGTGTCCTGTCTGATACTGCTTGATAATTTCCTCCCCTCCTCAAGATAATATCTGGCAAGCATGCCCTTGGATTATCCAGAAATAAAATGTGGTCATTTGGTGTGATCCCTGTTGTGATCTGCTCTGCATGCAGAGACCACGGACATGTTGTACATTTAGATAAAAAAAGAAAAAACAGGAAGGTAATGCCAGGGAGCACCTCCCAAGCGACATTGGGCATGGTATTTTGAGAATTGAGAAGACAACATGGAGAAAAAAAAAAAAAAATCCGCATGTAATAGATTTTTGTCTTAGCATCACCTGTGAGTTGTGGAGTCCCCATGGTTTCCTTCCAGTCCCTTCCAGCAGCCACAACTCCTACATTAGACAAATCGGTTCTTAGCCATAGGGACGCTTTCGGACTTTAAGCTGCCACCAGTAAATCCACAATGTTTTTTCACAGTTCAAATAAATTTTCTTTCAAATAAGCTCCTAAAATAACATTTGTAAAAAAATACAGAACTTTTTAATACAATAAATTGCTTAAAAAACCCACACCAAACATGCTAACATGGGTTGGAAAAGCCCTGACCTTTTGCAAGGAGAACTTACAAAAGTAATTTATCCCACATAGCAGATATCCAGATATGTAGGCAACAGTTCTGTTCCCCCTAGCAGGGGGTCTAACTAGCAGAAATCTTCTGAATTAAATAGTGAAATCAGAAAGAAAACTGTAGAGATGTTTTCTGTTCTCTGTTACACGGGTTATTTGAGGCAAGCCAAAGCGTTGCGGTAAATGATGAAGGGTTCCACATATTTGCTTACCGCATGTGCCGCGACGTTAAAACAGAAGACAGAATTAAAACTCTTCCTTTTAGGCTTACGATAGTGTTTTTCTTGGCCCTAACCTGTCAAAAGGAGAGTATTCCTGAAATTCTCTTGCTGCTCCCGTGCAGGCATTTAAGTGAACCAATGCACTGGTTTTGTGAATGGCAAAATACATGCAGGGGCTTTCATTCTTTTCCTCTTGTTGACAAAGCAGGGAGATGATCGACGTGTGTTTACTCATTTGTGCTACCTGACTTTTGCTGTGAATACAGTTTACACTTGCAAATCTTTTTTTTTTTTCATTATTTGAGGGGTTTTTTTTATATAAAATAGTCCTACTCATGGTTAAAAATATAGTAGCCAGTTTTAAAAAAAAATATGGCTTAAAAAATTGTGATAATTTTCCACTCATTGCTAAAAATAAAATAAAATCAAAACAGCATTACCTAAATATGCAGCTCTTGTACAGACAGTTGTGTCTGTTTTCCTCAAAATATTAATCATAGGGGTGTGTTGTTTTGCATGACACCCTACCAAATACGGGCTAGTACAAATAAACATGGATGAACCATGTCATGCTTAATTTGTGGCAAATGTCTTTTTCTTGGATCAAGCACTTGCTGTCAACAAGTGTAACAGCAACGACATTAATGAACCTATTGGAAGCCCAATGAAATCTTTGTAGCCATTAGGTAAATAGGCACTAGAATCATGTGTTGATCAAAATACTGACTGATTTTAAAACCTCTTCTGTGCCATTTCAGCAGCTGTTTTTTATGTACAATATCCTGACTGAGACAGACTAATGTGTTTACTCAAGCCACGATCCTGAAAAATGCTTAAGCACATATTTAATTTCAAGCATGTAAATACCCTGGTTTAGTCAGGCTGTCTGTGTGCTTAAAATTAATTAAGTGCTTTGTTAGATGAGATGAAGACATGCAGTCTGAGTTTCTGGCGGCCTTTCAACCTTTGTAAAACTCAGGTTCCAATAAAAACTTCCAGAGTAATTCCATGGGTATCCAGTCAGCAGTTCCTGCAAAGGCTGCTGACAGGAGCTGACACTCACGATGGGGTCGCAGTGAGACAACGAATAAAGTTTTATGTCCAGTCTCAGCCTTGAGTAACTGGACTGGGAGCATCCTCCATCCCACGTGCCGCAGCTGAGGTGATGGTGAGCTCTTACCTGCCTGGGGTTCAGGCTGAAAGTATCCTCCGTGGTGTGGGAAATCCGTGGTAGCCGTGCCTGCTCAAAGCCTTCTCGGCTCGTGGGAGAGTATTCGGCACGGTGGGACCTCGCGCTGAGTGAGCTGAGAAAGGGGAGTCTGGTATCGTCTGCATCGCTACAGCGTTTGCGTTTTGTCCCCTATTTTACAGAATGGTCCTGACTGGGAAAACTGGCTCCTTCAGAGCATGATTTTTATCTTTTAACCAATCATAAAGGCTCCAAAAAAACTTGCTTCTTTGTCCATGTCAACTATGTCACTGTTACTGACAGAGACGAAAATCCTGTCCTCTCTTTTCAGCTGAAACACGCCACCTTGGTAGATGGAGTAAAGTCCGTATTCTGCCTTTTTAGACCAGCAGCTTGTTCTTGCGCTTTTCATGAGCAAAATGGGCTCTGGGTAATTAGTCAGTTTGTAAACATATTGGACGAGCTGTTTGGGGTTCCGGATTTGCGCCAGCAAATCTGAATCCTCGCTCTCGTTTTCGCGGAAACGAAAATAAGTTTGTGAGTAGATGTAATAAAAGCCTGTCTCGGGTACCACTAACTCGCCGTTTCTCAGCTCCACGTTGTAAAGATTCCTTGACGATTCCCAGTTGTTTATTTTTTGTCCTCTCCCTCTTCTGGGCACAGAATCTACTTAAGAAAAACACAGAGAACGTGTTAAATTAAAAGCCAGGTAGTGAAGCCGGGTGTCTGCTAGTTGGGGAGTCTGGGTTTTAACAATAAATTAAAGAAACCTTCTCTTCCCAGAGCTGCTAGGTCCATTCCCAAGACAATCTGAAGGTCCAGGAGCAAGCTCTTTGTGGGAATTCACATGAACTACCCTTATTTTTAATTTTTGTGCTCCCAAATATGAGAAAAATCATCCCCTTGTTACTTAGTTACAAAGTTCAAATAGCCATTTGTGTCCGGTACTCCCCAAAGCTGCAGAAACCCTACTAAGCCTTTCATTAACAAGGCCTGAATGTCAAGCCTCTCCTGTCTCTGTCTCACATTTCTAATAGGTCTGTCACCATAGCAGCTGGGACTCGCACAACAGAAGGAAATTAGAGGGAAGAGGAAAACTTAGTGTTAGGGAGAAGGCTATTTTTTTCCTCCTAATGAAGGTTCCAGAAGAAAAATTAGGGAGGTACCCAGAGAGAAGGGGCTTTCTAGCTGTTTTGTGACAACACTGTCTGGAACAAGAAGACTTTTTAATGATTCCTTTCATACTGTTAACTCACTGCAAATATAAAACAGTGTGTGTAAGCACGAGGCTAGCAAGGCGAGAGTAATTTCTGTGATCTTTAACTGTTTTTAAAGGTTTTCCTTACTGCGCGGGGACAGGGCACTCTTCCTGTTGCTGTTGCCCGTCAGATGCGCCGCGATCCTGTTGCTGGCACCGCGCGGTTGCTGCCCATCGGTGTGCGACAGTGTCAGGGCTCTTTCGGCTGAGGAAAGACCAGAAATGGAACCTCACATTAGAAGCAAGGATGGTAGAAGGCCCGTCTTGTCCCACTGGACCTGGTTTTGAGGAACAGGTATGTCATTTGTTTAACTGACTGAATGGTATATATCAGCTAACGGGGCTCTTGCTCTCCTTGAAATATCTCTAGACACCTCTTTATTCTCCTTTTTCTCCTTCCCCCACCCCAAAATTGCCAGCAGACAACTGAAGATAACCCATGGCACCGAATTTTCATATTCACGGTCAGTATCCTTTAAGGTGAAGTATTCGTAATCTTTGCTCTGAATTTTCACTTGGAGGCCATAAAGCTTTTTGCTCGATGTGTTTAGTGCTGTAAGAGCTTTCATCAGAGCTATTCCGTCACGGACCGATGCGCATGGCAGCTCAGTGCTGCTGGTTCCCAGGAGGGCACTGTCTGAATGTCCCCGTAACGCTGTGGGACCGAGGTCTAGAAGCCAAGTCCTCTGCATCCACCTTGGTTACCTTGCTCTAACCACTCGACCAGATTTCTGGCTCCTGAAAATCTGCCTTCTAGTAATAAGTAATGGTTTTTCGATGACTTGCTGCCAGTGCAAGATCCTAGTCAGTGTCTTCTGCACTTTTAAAAAAATTCCTCGAGTCACTACACATCAGGTGCCACTAGCAGCTCCTTTTTGCCAGTTAGTAAAATTATTATAATACCATTGACTGCAGATATGTTTTCCTCGTAGCTTCTTGACATCATCTGCCAACAAACAGAGAAAACAAATTAGTTTGTCAGCAGAAAATGGCAGGTGCAGGAAAAAAAACCCACTCCTTTCTCAAACTCATGAATAAAGGGTATGGCGGATTTGATCAACAAGTAACTAAAAAAGCCGATTAATTTGTTGTGCGTTCCCCTTCTTTACAACTGTTTGCCAACTGCTGAAATGAACTAGTTTGGTCACCAATGGTGGTGCAGCCACAGCAAGCTGATGGTTTGAGATGACGTACCTGGGTGACTAACATAAACCCTTTATTAGCACTTACTGACGTGTTCTGCCCTGCCACATTTCTATTCTATCTATCCATCCATTCATGCAGCCTTTTAGAAAATTATCATCATCATAGTCATTATCATTAAGTATTATTTCCGGCACCCAGGCTATCTTTTTTTTTTGCAAGATAGCTAGTAGGTATACTAAATGTGTAAATGTCCAGCAAATAAAACAATGTTTCCTTCATGCAGAAGTTCAGGGACTTCACAGGCAGAACTTCCACCAAGGAGCCAAGATCTCTGAATACAAATAGAGGATCTGCTTTGGGCTGCAAGATTTGCCAGGTAAGTTTCAACCAGAAGTGAATTTTTATGGATGAGCTTTTTTATGTGCTGGAGATGGGACTTTGAAAACCACTCCAGAAGATTTTATCCTTTCTGATTTTTCAGCCGGGCTTGTTTTATTCTCGGGAGCCAAAATTATATTTATTGTAAGTCATGCAGGAGATGGTGTTCTCTGAATGTTGAGCTGGGATGCCCAATGCTGTGAGCTCCCCTAATACATTACACAGCTCATGAT